AAGTTACAGGGAACAACGTCATTGAGGAACAATTTTGATGCCGATTAGTAAGTCCAGAAACGCGGTTAGTAGCAAATACAGATGGATATATACAGTCTCGAAGTAGGACTTCCTTAGAGTCTACGTGCTTGTAACTGACTTCTACAAGAGGTTAACTCACACTATCTCCGTTCGTATATTCTCTGACTGTCCCCGTATATCCTCTCTCACTGACTGTCTAACTCTGGGTATTTAACAGTAGCACTCCGAGTAACACTGGTAGAGTCCATTTATATGAAAAGGGGAGGACCCCATAACACTTTTCACCGCTATCAAAACTGGAAAGTGCGGGCTTGTCTGCTCAAACACAGATATAGCAGCAGTACACCATTTTTGATCTGGTATGGCTCTTGTAACTATAAAGGGTAGCAGGAGTCAGCTACTTACTGGTGTGCTAAAAGGAACCGATCATTTTTCTGGTATCTGTAGTGATATTTGCTTATAAAGGGTGTTCCAATAACTTGGACCGATTTTAAATGTGAATTAAGTTTAAGCGTCTATCTTTTTTCTTTTTCTTTCAGATTTGTTGGCTGATATTATTTTTTACACATAATTGCCATGATTTAAATAACATGATCCAATAGAGAAATAAATAAATTTTAACCAATAACACTGACTTACTTACTGCTAACTTTGATCCGTCTTAATGAAACACCCTTATATATAATCTGTCTTAATGAAACACCGTTTATATGACTTTCACTTAAGGTTTGGTGCAAACCTGTGTCCCAGTATGCTTTCAAGCCACTCGTTCACCATGAAAAGAATTCAGGATCTGCTCTAGAAAAAAAAACAGCTGCTGCTGTTTAATGCTGAGAGCCGTCAAAATTAATCTTAAATTCATGAGATTATATATAAATTTAATCCAACTTCAATAGAATGTGTCCGTGCGAAAATGTATCAGTTTACGGACCAATTCCGCTGAAACACTGATTTTCGTACGATCATCGATTGTAAGCAGTACCTAAACGTGTGTCCGCTTGGGAATACCAGGTGCTGTAAGCTTGGATGTGCAGGTGGTGTTATGGATAACTGATCGAGATTTGAAATCAGAGATCTAAGTTCCAATTTCAGTCGGGTTCGTTATATTCACTTACTCGAAAATTCCCTTGGGGAAGGAATGATTCCATGTCTTTTCCCTCCAACTATGGGTTAATTAGTAAAACTTGTATCTGTCACTCATTATTATTTACCAAATGATCATACAATCTAAGAGTATTTTCTGGATTTATATAATCTGGAAATGTTGGATAAGCCTTAAAACAAAAATTAATCAAACCAAACATACAACAGAAAAAATTTGATGTGATAATTCTAAACAAAATAATTATCTGGCTGTGACGCTTTAAGTCATTGAAAATAAGATAAAATGCGTTTTAAGATTTCAAATGTAAATATGAAATGTAAGAATATACAAGAATTAAGTATAAAATTTAAATATTTACTATAAAATTTAAATATGAAATTCAGATATAAAATTTAAATTTAAATATATAATATAAATTTATATATAAAATTCAAATATAAAATTTAAATATATAACAAAATTTAAATATGAAATTCAGATATAAAATTTAAATTTAAATATATAATATAAAATTTAAATATAAAATTCAAATATAAAATTTAAATTTAAATAACATAAAATTTTAAAATGAAATTCAGATATAAAATTTAAATTTAAATATATAAAATAAAATTTAAATATGAAATTCAGATATAAAATTTAAATATATAACAAATTTAAATATAAAATTCAGATATAAAATTTAAATATAATATCGATATAAACGTACCTTCCAAAATCTCATTTATTTGATAAAAAATTAAAAACTAAAAAATTCCCCAAATTTATTAAATATGGCAAACAAATTGTTGGACTCGCATTTCGATCAGCTCCTCCACTAGAATGATTGAGATGGAAGTGATCAGTTGATGCTAGCAATAACGAAAAGATGGATATCTGTAATTGCTAGACGCACATCTTCGATTGGATTGCATGATGTTTTGATTCGGTTTGTTATCGACTTCATAAAAATAAAAAAATGACAAGTGACTAAAAAGACAAAAGAAAATAAAAACTCGGTAAAACGACTAACAGCAGGCGATAATTGACTCCTACAGGTTCGAATGAGAATAATCTGTAATTTCGAACACAACAAGCTGGAATTTACCGCTACGGGGTCGAGGGGAAGAGAAAATCATTTAGATTAGTCTTTACCTGATCTCATATTTCAGACAGCCTACTTAGCAGAAGAAATTTCTCATATGTATGTATGTATGTATGCATGTATGTATGCATCTATCTCATTCTCTTCATATCTATCTATCTATCTATCTATCTATCTATCTATCTATCTATCTATCTATCTCATTCTCTTCATATCTATCTTATGCTCTTCATATCGATCTATTAATCTATATATGTAGCTATCTATCTATCTGTAACATTATATATATATATATATATATATATATATATATATATATATATATGAATATCAATCTATCCATATATATTTTATATATATATATATATATATATATATATATATATATATATATATATATATATATTCTCTTTATATCTATCTCAATCTTTTTCATATCTATCTATACCATTTACTTTATATCTATCTATCTATCTATCTATCTATCTATCTATCTATATATCTATCTATCTATAGTTAAATTCCCAGATCAATTCTTTGGACAAGACATATTGGTATCAAATAACAATTGGAAAAAAATCTTAGATTTTGCCGACGCGTTTCGTCTTCCGACATTTTCAAGGCAAAAATGAAATCGAAATGTTTTTGTTGTTATAGTTATAAGTTGTTGCCATTAAAAAATCCAAATTTAAAAAGATTGACGCTTCTGTCTAAGACTTTTTTTCTGGCTAATGTAAAATTAACTTTATAGTAAGGGAGTTTTTTTTCCATGTCGACAATATAGCTAAATTCTCAGATCAATTCTGTGGACAAGACAGATTGGTATAAAATGACAATTAAAAAAAAATTCATATATATATATATATATATATATATATATATATATATATATATATATATATTTGAATTTAAGAATTTAAAGAATTTGAATGAAACCTGTTGTGTAATTTATTGGGGTTATTGTAACGTCTTCCTTAATGTAGTCCTTATCGCTCACCCCTTAACCACCTTTATCTAGAGACGAGAAGCGTTAGATTTGAGCAACATCCAGCCAACACACTGGGGTTAAAATAGGAAACTAAAATAATACATATGACACACTCATATCCTCTCTCCCACCTCACTTCCTCACTTCGTTAACTTTGCGTATACTTGATGAGGTCCGTCAAAAACGTGTGAATTTCTTTTCATTTTTCATTTCAGCTTTTGGAAGTAAAGTCTGATGATCCAGAACCCTGTAAAAGGGGTTATGGTGAAATAGCTTATTACATGGAATCTTAACGTCGTCTGTCTTTTATTCAAACATATATGCTCTGAATTTTACATTGAGCTCTCTGGATATCATCCTCCTCAGGTCTACCCATACGGATTACCTAAATTTGAATAAACTAAAAATATATATATATATATATATATATATATATATTTTTTTCTTGTTCAGTTCGACTGGGGTTGTGTATTTCTTTATGATATTTCTGTAAAAATAATTCGTTTTGCTAACAGTTAACACGTATTTAAACTATTTAAACCATATTTGTGGGGAGCTGAGATGGATACACACTTTTCCCAAGAATATTTACGCGAAAGAGAATTCGGCTTTTCTCTCCGATTTCTTGTTCTGAGCTGCTGACTATTACATCTCTTAGTCACACAATCGCATACGCACACACACACACACACACACACACACACATATATATATATATATATATATATATATATATATATATATATATATATATAGTACAGGTAATAAATCCGTTGGTATATGATCCAAGTGGATCCTAGAATATAAAAGATTAAAACTGATCTGCAAAAGAGCTCAATGTATTTATTATAACAGAGCCAATAAATGGTATTATAAAATCAAATCCAAAATAACCTCATATGGGGGTAGATCTATTTCAACCGACGAAAAACTTGTCAGTCTTATTCAATCCCAGTGCATAGATTTATACACCTGGCTTGAATAAGACTGACGTAGTTTATGTCGGTTGAAATAGATCTACCCCCCATATGAGGTAATTTTGGATTGTATTGTATATTACCATTTATGGGCTCTGTTATAATAAATACATTGGGCTCACTTTGTAGATCAGTTTTCATGCACACACACACACACACACACACACACACACACACACACATACTGCCTTTTATAGATAGAGATAATGAAAACATTGAATAAAATATGAAATAATTAAATACCATGATGGGAAACATGTAATCTGAGCTCGAAATTCGTGAAAACTGATTTACCAAAGATAATGTTATCAATTAATCTACAGATATTTCCATGTTATATGTTTGGGCGAGCTGCATTCCTTGGCACTCCTGGGACCCGCTATGACAAGTACATATGTCTCATCCACATCATGATTCTTATTCTTTAGACCCTTCCTTTAGTTTCACCAATTCAGATGTCTACGTTAAGGTGGTGCCATGCTACGCTCACGGATTCGGATAATCCATTAGTAATAAGTAATATCCACTCGGACAGATTCTTCCCAGACTTGACAATTGATTTGTTTAACAGACCCACTGCTGGATGTTTCCCGATCAGTGTAAAGTTTACCCCTTCAATTCTAAGGTTAACCATTATATTTCTTACATATCCTCATGGATCTCACATCTTGTGTGATCATTCGCTCATACAACACCATACATTAAGCGAGCACCTAGAGTCGGCCTTAGGTCTTGTATAGAGGGAACATTAGTAAAGAAAAAAATGGCTACGTTTGGTAAGTAAGCTAAAGCTTGGATCTGTAATTAATTCACCCAATACAAGGGTCAAAAGTCGCTCATGGTAGAGAATATGAACGTAAAAGGAAGTGAAAGAAAATCAAGATTATGAGTATGAGGAGGATAGATAGATAGATAGATAGATAGATAGATAGATAGATAGATAGATCTGGAAAGGTTTCGATAGATAGATAGATAGATAGATAGATAGATAGATAGGAACAGGCTAAGATAGATAGATAGATAAGAACAGGCTAAGATAGATAGATAGATAGATAGATGGATAGATAGATAGATAGATAGATAGATAGATAGATAGATAGATAGATAGATAGTAAAAGAACAGACTGACAGACAAACGAACAGATAGCTAGATAGACAAATATGCTAAAAAGGACTAAGATAGATAGATAGATAGATAGATAGATAGATAGATAGATAGATAGATAGATGATAAATTTCATCCAGTACAAGGTTCAAGAGCCACTCATGGTAGGTGATTACTGAATGATATGAACATAAGAATAGCTAGAAAAAAATAGAAGTTTATGAGTATAAGGAGGATAGACAAAATGGTAGAAGCGAGAAACACAACATTCCCAGATTTCTTTTTTTAAGGATAATGCCCTGGAGCTCTATATTGTCAAGTCTGTTGGATTATTTTTTTATTTCATATTCATTTATTATTTCTATTTATTTATCTAATTATTTTGCATGCTTTTTTTTTTTCTTGCGTTTATTTGTTTGGTTCTATTTTTTTTTTTTTGTACCTAGAATAAAGTGGAATTAGAACAATCTATCTTGTTTTCGGTTCTAAATTCCAACAAATATTACCTGAAGAAGGCCGCAGCCTACAATGGCCGAAACATCATGAATATAGCAATAAAAAAAATGTAAATAAAACAACGCAAATAGTGTAAATAGTTATGTGGATGTTGCATGCCGGGTAGGGTAATTTCTTTATCAAAACTTCGGAAAAAAACGAACTGAAGTGAAGCGTAGATGCAAACATAATATAGATTTTTATTTATTTCCTTTAAAGTGATGAGTGAGTTTTTTGATATTCGGCGTAGAAAAATGTTCGTTTATGAGGCGAATATTTGTAGGATGCTTGGTGAAAGTCCGGAGGGGGTAGTTTTGAAGTCAGACCAGGATAGAGGTAAGAGTAATAGTAGAAATAGGTCAGTGTTAATCTATTGGTTTTTTTTCTCGGTCCTAGGGAGGGGAGAAATATCAGTAGATGATGACCTCGTAACTACTTCACGCATCACGCATGGCCGGCTTCTCAGCAGTAGCGTCTTTTGTCAACACTCTCGTCGTCCTTCTAGCTTCTAGAGATATCAGCTTATACGTTTTGAGCAGTCTCCGAGACTCTGGCGCGAACATTGGTTTCGACTAACATCAAAACACTCTTTGTGTCAATTTTTTTGATTGGCCAAAATTATTTTATTTTTTGGGGGTTCCTTTTTTTTTCATTTTTTATAACGGAAGTTATGCGTGGAACCTCAATTATTTTTGCTATTTTTTAGTAACAGATAAGTAGGCTCTAATCCTGCAAACCTCCGGCATTTTTCGGCCTGGTTCAGTATTTTCTTCTTCTTCCTCTTTTTATTTGAGGGTTGCCTTCACGTTAGATGAAAGTATAGAAAAGAAGTTCAGCGAGAGAGTGAGAGAGAGAGAGAGAGAGAGAGAGAGAGAGAGAGAAGCATATAAGCGTTTTAAAGGAAAGCGCAAATGCTTTATTTTAATTTTAATTAATTTTGTTTATATATTTTATTTTTTTATTTTAATTTTAACAGGACTCACTTCAGTTACAATGCTTCATCTCATATAGAAAGAAGAAGAAGAAGAAGAAGAAGAAGAAGACGAAAATGATGATGATGATGATGATGAAGAAGAAGAAGAACAACAACAACATTAATAATAATAATAATAATGTTTATTCAGAATCCTTACTAGTAGAGGCAAAATTAAATAAAAAGTAAGATAAGTATAACTCCGTTACCAAAAACATATGGAACATGACAACTGCAGTTGTGCCAGTTGTTATCAGAGTACTGGGAACTGTTTCGGTGTGCAATGAAATATAACTGGAGGAATAAAAGATTGTAGTAAGATTTAGTGCCATCTGGATGTCGACATTGTTGGAATTTTTGGGTACCCTGGTGTACTAATGAGCCAGCCAAAATGAGCTCACTCATTTTAGAGTTCACCAATAGAAGGCTTAACCAATCAGAAGACTCAAAATATTCAATGCGACGTGTATAAAGGCGGCCATGTTTCTTTCCTAATATTCACTGCTAGCCTTTGATATTGAAGCCTGAAGAATTACAGAACAGCTGCTGGTGGTATTGGCGATATAGTCAGATTCAGTAGAATGTCTGACTCGTGAGTGTTAATCTTTAACGTTGTTTCATTGAAAAGATTACGTATTGCGCTGTATTCTATATTCATAGACTATGGTGAACATGGTCAACAGACATTATTACAAGCAGTAAGAATCGAAGATATCAGCAGAAATTTTGAGATTGGCGTACCGAGCTTAAATTCCAGCCGAGGGCGTTGTGTTCGCTTGGGAAGGATTTGAATCCGTATCTTCTACACCCCGTCAGCCAGTCTCTCTAGGTTTGTTTGACTACTTCGATACGAGAACAATTCGCCAAAGAATGGAATTAATTTGCGTGATTTAAGCAAGTATTTTGTGATGTCGACGAACATTCGTTTGACACTTTTGTAATGTTAAAGAATACCCGTTATCACTTTCGTAATGTTCGCTGTAGTAGAGATTTTGTAATTGTAGATACAACTATAGTAACGCCGTTGAATAATGCTGGCGTCAGATGCCTTTGAATAACACTCGCATTAATAGTACTTGCTCGATAATACTCGCTCGAAAGGTAACCACCGAATAGGGATCAGAATAGTAATCTGTATAGTGATATATTCACCTACCGCCCCATGCGATCGGGTGTGGCACAAAGCTTCGTCTGGGTTCCTCTCTGCTCGGAGGCAGAGAGTTTGACCAGCACACTTCCGAACTATATAGTGAGATATTCACTAACCGCCTCACGCGGTTGATGGGGTACAAGACTGAGTTTATTGTACTCAGCCAAAAATTTCCCGTACACCCCGTAAAAAAAAGAAGGTCGGGTAGCTGTCTCCCGAGACGAGAATCTGCCTTTCGACATAGACTCGTCTGGGGATCCTCTCTGACAAGCACACTTCCGAAGTAATCTGTATAATGAGATATTCCCCTATCTCCCCAGGCGGTCTGATGCGGTACAAGGCCAAATAAATTGTGGGGTATCCGAGCCCGTAGGCTTGATCAAAAATTCCGCGTAGACCCCGTAGAAACGAGGTGGGGTAGCTGTCTACCACGCCAGACGAGACTCTGCCCTTCGGCATAGCCTTGTCTGGGTTCCACTTTGCCCGGAGGCAGAGTGTTTGACAAGCACACTTCCGAAGTAATCTGTATAGTGATCACTTAGACGCCACGCTAATTCCCATATATACATTTCCTTTCCCATCACGTGATCTACTTATTCAAAATGGGATCACCTGTGTTTGCTCTCTGGTGATCTGTGTTCAAACTCCCGTGGCGGCAGCGACACTTTATTCCTATATAACAAAGTGTTTCAATAAAGATTATTATGAACTCATAAACTGTTCACACGTGTAGAATTCAAAACTGGCTGAGATTGGCGCTACATACTCTACTCCGTGAAAACGTACTCGCTAAAGAAACCACAGAATTAAATCTAGCGTACTGGAGTTGAGCAGTTGATTGTAAACTGAGGAAAGTCCTGGATTATTAAACTTACTTTCTCTTAATCTCAAGTTTCGTTCAACAGTTGCTACTCGTGTGAACCTTTTATGAGTAAATAATAATCTTTATTCAAACACTTGCTGGAAGGACTCAAATAATATCCATTCTTTGGCGAATCATCCGCTTGGATAGCATGAGAAATTTATACTTACATTACTAAATAGAACGTATATTTTCAAGTATCATGTACCTAATCGGGCTGATACAACGCTATTGTGTCTAATGGAATAGTCTCCGACCAACGATCTTGCCCTTCCTCGTTTCTCTTTAATTTATTCTAATCGATGGAGTTTCACGGATGTCCAAAGCCTCTGTATTCGATTCAATTAGTTTGACGTAAATCTCCGTCGATCGGCTATTTCATTTCAGAGGTCACTGACTGGCACCACTGAGAGTGCCCCAAATATTATCACCGGGTTTCAATTTTCGCTCAGAATTAACTGGGCATATATATTAATTCTGTAAATGTTAAATGAATAATTACTTTCACTTCTTGTTTTGTATAGCGCTCGACGACGCCCAAGAATGTTTAAACTACTTTCGGGAAAACTGTCTTCGACCTCCTTTTCTATTTTATGTTTTTACCCATCTCTTTCATCAGCGATTGGACATTTTTTGTTCTATATATTCTGGCCGTTCAGCAGGTAGGTACTTATCCCTTTCAGCTCTTAGTAACTTTCGTATTTTTGCAATCCTCAACCCCGCCGTTTCGCCGTCTATTCAGGCAAGCAGTTAGACGGTCCGCTGCCTTCACCTGTCTCTTTCGCCTTCGATATTGCCCTGTGAGTGTCAAATTCTACAAGCCTTCCTTCCTCTTGATGTATCTCAGAAATTTCAGCTGTCTTTTTCTGATTTACAGACATGAAGATAGGCTGTATCTTCTTTAGATTTTTATGTTTATTTTAACATCCCAATAAATCGAAACTGACGAAATATTGTTAAATATTATTAACCCTGCGTTAGTAAACTTGGATTTCCAAAATTCGATAGTCGCTTGGTATTCCACGAGCTACAACTGCATCACACCCAGTGCTACACACATTCATTGAGTCAGGAGAATTGTGGGAGGGAGTAAAAGAAAGAAATTGCCAATTACCAACTATGAGTACTTTAAAAATGTTTGGGGTAACACAATAATCCACATAACTAACGAAGGGTTATGTACACCCTTGTGCAAATTAATTGAAACAAAACGAATTCCGTCATTATTTACTTTTTTTCGTATTTTTCCAATGAAACATGAACCAGTGCACATGTTCGTACTTCGTATGTCCATTCCCCGAAGTCTTTCCTTGTAGATTGACCACAGATTCTAGATTGCATTTAAATCAGGAGAGTTACCGAGCCAGTCGATAATATTTTGATTTGCTCACTGACAAGCCTTACTATTGTGTTCGTGCAACGCGACGATGTTCGTACGCTTCATTGGAGTAACATCCATCGCAGACAATGACCGTAGGACAACTAATCGACAACCGAGAGAATAGTGTCTGGGTGTGATGAAAGCTGGTGCAATCACGGATAACGTAATATTTTTCAAGGTCAAACAAATTTCATCATACCCACCGAAAACAGATGTATATTACTGCACACCACTGCAAATGATCCTATCTTAGGTAAAAATAAATCGATTAAACCCTGTCACTCTAGTGGGACTAAAACTGACCGTATGTTGAAAGAAAGGAAACTAAAGTGGTTGTTTCAATTAATTTTTACAAGGATGGTGCGATGGATAAATTGTCTAAATGACACAAAAACTAAAATAACCCTGACATCTCATTTCAACAGATACAGGATTCGATGGATAAATTGTCGTCTAAGTGATGCAAACATCAAAATAACCCTGGCATCTCATTTTAACAGATACAGGATGCGATGGATAAATTGTCGTGTAAATAACGCAAACATCAAAATAACCCTGACATCTCATTTCAACAGATACAGGATGCGATGGATAAATTGTCGTATAAATGACGCAATCATCAAAATAACCATGACATCTCATTTTAACAGATACAGGGTGCGATGGATAAATTGTCGTCTAAATGACACAAAAACGAAAATAACACTGACATCTCATTTTAACGGACATATTTATCAAAATAAAACAAAAATATCTTGAGACACTAAGTTTATTCAAGAAAATGGCCATTGACTTCAAACAAGTCCTTCAGACGACTTCGGAAACAGACCGTACAGTGAAAGAAAGGAAATTAAGCGGTTGTTTTAATTAATTTGCACAAGGGTGTATTCTGTTTCTTTTCTTGAAACGAGCTCTCCTCTAAGGATTTCAAAATATTGCAAGGAGTTACGTCAATCATTTTGTTTAATAATAATAATAATAATAATTATATATTTATATCTGCACATCCGTGATATCCATTCGTGTTCGGTAAATGGAACTTTCTTTTCTCTTGGGGAGTTGGAAATGATGCTGATTCAATAAATAACGCGCGAAAAGTGTATCAAAGAGTGGGATGCTGCGGAGAGGAGCCTCTTAAAATGCACTTCTTGCAGTCGCATCGCGATATTTTTTCCAACGGGTTTGGGATCTATAAGCGATAATCCTGGTCAGAGGTTCTACCACGCTATATCCTACATAGCATTGACGTATTGAGGTCACTTCAATCCAAACACAATGGCTGACAACTGCTGGTTCTTACAAGCGCCAAAGTGTCTGAAATATTACGGAAGATATAATAAATAAATTTGGTATTTTATATTTATTCTCTTATTTCCGATCTGCATTTTCTGCGCATATGAACACCCGACTGGTTAATACACAATACTGTTAAAAAGCTTTAGTCACTTGACACTTGAAATGAGGATTAATGATTATTTACATTATTTTCATTATTTGAACTGTTATCCTCATCTTCATTGCCATATTCACAACGTTTCTGACGTTGTACGCTCCGGTTCTCTTCAGGTGATTGGAATTTCGTGTCAATATATCTTAGACGAGGTATAATGATTATTTATATTATTTATATTATTCGAATTGTTATCTTCATCTCCATTGCCATATTCCCAACGTTTCGGACATTGTATGCTCCGATTCCCTTCAGGTGATTGGAATTTCATTGCCCGGTGAACGAAATAAAGAGTTCGGTTCGAAATTCCAATCGATCACAGAAGGCTGGAGCGTAGAGCGGCCGAAACGTTGTAATAAATATGGCGACAAATGTGATGACAACAGTTCGAATAATGTAAATAATGTACATAATACCTCATCTCAGAAATATAGACAGATACTGAAAGGACGTAGCGTTGTAATAAATATGGCAACAAAGATGAGGACAATAGTCTGAATAATGTAAATAGTGTACATAATACCTCATCTCAGAAATATAGACAGATGCTGAAAGGCTGAAACGTTGTAATAAATATGGCAACAAAGATGAGGGCAATAGTCTGAATAATGTAAATAGTGTACATAATACTTCATCTCAGAAATATAGACAGATACTGAAAGGCCGAAACGTTGTAATAAATATGGCAACAAAGATGAGGACAATAGTCCGAATAATGTAAATAGTGTACATAATACCTCATCTCAGAAATATAGACAGATACTGAAGGGCCTAAACGTTGTAATAAATATGGCAACAAAGATGAGGACAATAGTCCGAATAATGTAAATAGTGTACATAATACCTCATCTCAGAAATATAGACAGATACTGAAGGGCCTAAACGTTGTAATAAATATGGCAACAAAGATGAGGACAATAGTCCGAATAATGTAAATAGTGTACATAATACCTCATCTCAGAAATACAGACAGATACTGAAAGGCCGAAACGTTGTAATAAATATGGCGACAAAGATGAGGACAATAGTCCGAATAATGTAAATAGTGTACATAATACCTCATCTCAGAAATACAGACAGACACAGCACTATTTGATTTGAGTAGAATTAAAATGGGGTGCTGAAAAGACACACCTGCCAAATCTGGACAAATGACCAAACAGCTAGTATTTGCCGGGGAAGGGCGTTTTGGTCGGTTGGAGGCAAGAAATTTTCAGGACCTTCTTATATAATATATACAGTAGTATATACAGTACTAATATATCCGAATATGTCTGTTTTCTTGGGCGGCTAACTAATCCCTGATGCAGACGTCCTGCTCAGGCACATTTGTGTTTGTTCAATACTCACAGAGCTCACCTCAGTGGTTTATACTGCGACTATACTGAGCAGACTTTAATTACAGTTTCTGGGGGAGTGCGTGCTATCTAGTGGGATCAAAAGTCTGAACAAAGCCAGCACACTCAAACCCTCGATCACGATGACTTGTGACTTCGTGACAGCACAAACCATCAACGGTTCCAAAAGCGTTCCGTCTACCCATTTTCACTTACAGTACTAATATACTATTAATCAAATATTTCCCTTAAAGATAAGTATGGTATGTCAGTCAGTTATGTGTCATGCGTGATACACTCTTAGGCGATCATGTATCTTTCGATACATGACTGACGAGGCAGATTTTTTTTCCCTACAATAGGTTGCCATTTCTTTCTGCGGTAGACCATTTGCCATCCAAGGCTATAGAACCCGGTCTGTTCTGCTATTTACCCATAGCTGGGGGGAGAAGAAGAGGATTCATACCTTTCCCAATGGTATTAGCACGTAAGTGAATTTCAGTCAGTTATGTGTCATGCATGATACACGCTTAGGCGATCATGTATCTTTCGATATATGACTGACGAAGCAGATTTTTTTTTCCCACAATAGGTTATCCTTTCTTTCTGCGGTAGACCATTTGCCATCCAAGTCTATAGATCCCGGTCTGTTCTGCTATTTACCCATAGCTGGGGGGGGGAGAAGAAGAGGATTCATACCTTTCCAAAGGCTATTATCACGTAAATGAATGTAATGGATTCGACTGGGATTCGAACTCGGCTCTCCGATTCCTTAGTCCAAGCCGCTATCCATTACTCCATTGTTTTTAAGAAATACGATCACTCTGAGTTCAGATTCGGTATCAAGTTACAATTCCTCATCTTTTACTTAATCATGTTACTCGGTAGCGGACAAAAAGTTTTGCTTAATGGTGTCGGTCCCAGCGGGGGATGTGAAGCTACCACAACTATAAACACACCACAAGTATATCTAATAAGTATGAATGGGATATTATTAAAACTGTGTACTTTGATTAGATTCAGTAGCTGGAAATACACCTCGATCTGTTCATATGAATCTAACAAGAACTGCTTTTTTTTTTAAAAACTAAAATGACAGATTTCAAACCCGATTTGCTACTATTACTTTGACCGCACTACAGTAGTGAGGGCGTGCGAGACAGGAACTTTAAATAGATAATTAAACTTACTAACAGTCCTGTTCCACAAAACAATCAGATTTATCGGATGTATTGTAATGAAAGCAATAACAAATGTACCTAAACGAGAAATTCCAAGGATCAAAGGTCATTAGGCTAATTATTCAAACGGTATCGGACCGATAGTGTTTCAGTAACCTTCGAAAATTATTAATTTTAAAAAATAAAATAAAATAAACCTTCACATATTAAATTGAAACAAAGAATAAATTAAATACAATAACATGTCATTGGATATTTTTATGACTTTTGTCCCTTTCATAGATAGATAGATAGATATGAACACACGGAGATAGATAGGACGGTCAGAGTGAGTCAGGAAGTAACTGAGATAGATAGATAGATAGATAGATAGATAGATAGATAGATAGATAGATAGATATGAACACACTGAGATAGATAGATAGATAGATAGATAGATAGATAGATAGATATGAACACACTGAGATAGATAGATAGATAGATAGATAGATAGATAGATAGATAGATAGATAGATAGATAGATAGATACATACATACATACATACATACATACACTTACATACATACATACATACATATACATAATGAACACACTGAGATAGATAGATAGATAGATAGATAGATAGATAGATAGATAGATAGATAGATAGATAGATAGATAGATAGATCACTGAGAGTGAACGGATAGTCTCATATATATACATCGGAATATTTTGATAGTCCCAAAAGAAAGGAAAATAATTTATTAGAATTTATACAGACTGTAAATTGGACGAATTTATTGAATACTAAAAGATTGTGTAGCAAAAATCTCCTGAATAGAATGTCTTTTTCACACTGAAGCTGCGTATGCAACTTTGTGATTTTAATTTTAGGCTAGGCCCTTTCCCGCCGACTGTGTTGTCCGGGTGATATTGAGTTCATCGGACATTACCAATAAAATCTGAAATTGATTATTTCTTATTAAAAAGATAGCAAGTATATTAAGAGAGATGGCAAGGTAGATAGGAGTTTATTTAAATGCATTATCGGCTTCATCTATATTAGAAATATCTGATGTGAATAAATATATGACAATGTATAAAAGAAAGAACGAGAAAGAAAGAAAGAAAAAGAAAGAGTGTAAAAGAAAGAAAGAAAGAAAGAAAGAAAGAATGACAAAAATAAAAGAAGGAATGAAAGAAAAAGAAACAAAAGAAAGAAAATGAATGCGAAATAAAGTAAAAGAAACTGAAACAGTAGAAAGAAAGAAAGAAAGAAAGAAAGAAAGAAAGAAAGAAAGAAAGAAAGAAAGAAAGAAAGAAAAGAAAGAGCGGGCGAAAGAAAGAGCGGGAAAGAAGGAAAGAAAGAGAAAGAAAGAAAGAAAGAAAGAGAAAGAAAGAAAAGAAAGAGCGGGCGAAAGAAAAGAAAGAAAGAAAGAAAGAAAAGAAAGAAAGAAAGAGCGGAAAGAAAGAAAGAAAGAAAGAAAAGAAAGAAAGAAAGAAAGAAAGAAAGAAAGAAAGAAAGAAAGAAAGAAAGAGGAAAGAAAGAGCGGGAGAAAGAAAGAAAGAAAGAAAGAGCGGGCGAAAGAAAGAGCGGGCGAAAGAAAGAAAGAAAGAAAGAAAGAAAGAAAGAAAGAAAGAAAGAAAGAAAGAAAGAAAGAGCGGGCGAAATGAAGAGAAAGAAAGAAAGAAAGAAAGAAAGAAAGAAAGAAAGAGCGGGCGAAAGAAAGAAAGAGCGGGCGAAAGAAAGAAAGAAAGAGCGGGCGAAAGAAAGAAAGAAAGAAAGAAAGAGCGGGCGAAAGAAAAGCGGGCGAAAGAAAGAAAGAGCGGGCGGCGAAAGAAAGAAAGAAAGAAAGAAAGAAAGAAAGAAAGAAAGAAAGAAAAACAAACAAACAAACAAACAAACAAACAAACAAACAAAGAGCAGGCGAAAGAAAGAAAGAAAGAAAGAGCGGGCGAAAGAAAGAGCGGGCGAAAGAAAGAGCGGGCGAAAGAAAGAAAGAAAGAAAGAATAACAAAAGGAAAAAATAAAAGGTGAAAAAGGAAAAACAAAAAAGAAAACAAAGGAAAGCAGAAATAATAAAAGAAAGTAAGAGAAATCAAAATAAATAAAAGAAAAAGAAAGGAAGAAAGAAAGATTGAAAGGAAGAAACGAATAGAAAAAGTAAGAAAGTTTAAAAAAGAAAGAAAGAAAAAAGACAGAAAATAAACAAAGCCTGAAGGAAAAAACAAAAGAAAAATAAATAAAAAACAAACCTAAAAAAGAAAGCAAGAATATGGAAGAATACTTTTTTCCTTCCTTTTTCTTTAAAAGAAAGAAAAAACGAAAGAATGAAAGGAATAGGAAGAAGGAGAAAGACATGAACCAAAGGAAAAAATAAGGAAAAGAAAGATAGAAAACGAACGATAACAAAAGAAGAAAAAAAAGAAAAGAAAGAGATAAAACAAAAGAAAGAAATATGGGAGAAGATGAAGAGAAAACCGAAAGCCTATTTCGAATTAGTCTTCAGTCCCTGAAGACTTTTCATACTCTATCTTAAAAAGCAATGGCTGGAATTATCAAAGAGTTGAATTAATGACGTGAGACGTCAGCGGGTTCCATTTTGTCTGTGAGAAATGGCCAGCGAAATGATGGTCAGTCCATTCAGGATGGTCAGGTGGCTCTTCACTGCTAAGTCTATTCACGACCAGTCAATCGATCATAAGAAGCTGGTGATCTGAATTCATATCTTTGTAAGAACGACCGAAAGAGAATCAAAGGTGGTCAGAAGATATGACACAACTTTCAATGGAACGCTATTCTTCAAAACACGGTCTTAGCCGGCGTTTCTCTAAGTAACACTCTGGCATCGATTGCTTGTTTTTAGAACTACAGCTTTCGGCTTAAGCAAAAGTATATAGATAGTAATTTACGTTCTCACGTAACTTATCGATGATTCGTAAATATTTCTTTGGTGGAGTTTACAACATTGTCTGAATATTAATAAGAGGTGACAACTTACGGCAAAGCACGAATTTGGGATTTTACATCATTTTAGTTAGAAAAAAAAGAAGAAATTTCGCTGATCGTCGTCTGTCAAGCCTCAAAATATTTTTCTGGTGGATTCTCCAGATATTTGATGATAATCAGTAGATCTTTTCGGTTAAAAACTTACAAGAATTGTTAGATAAAATCAAAATAAATATCCCTCATGTCTCTGGGGACATCAACGTATGATATCTCAGGTTTTCCGTCCCCTTCTCACTCTCTGCATACATATATATATATATATATATATATATATATATATAAAGAGATATATAGAGAGAGAGAAATATATATATATATATATATATATATATATATATATATATATATGTGTGTGTGTGTGTGTGTGTGTGTGTGTGTGTGTGTGTGTGAAAAGTGTATATAAATATAAATAAATATATATATGTATGTATATAAATAAAAAGAAAGAACAGTAAGATATAAAATCCGGTGTTCTTATAGATATTTTTATTTTTACAAAATAGTGCTCAATGTAAATTTACAGAGCATTAATATCAATTAATTTATATATATGTATAATTATTTATATATTATATGCGAGGTTTCCCCCACCACTTCCACAATAACACCAATACACGCAATCTACATAAAGCCAAATTTTTTAAAACATTAATCAGTTTGTCTGACGATCGCTAAAGCGTGAAACCCAGGGTCACAAACTCACATCTATCAAACCAAATATATATATATATGCAGTATAGTTCAAAACTTTGAAGCTACTGCCAGAACTACCATAGAATACACTTGAGAGAAGAGTGATTTTTTTTTATGTGTTCTTAGAGTCAGTGAAAACAGAATGGTATCAATTATCAAACTTATACTTTGAGAAAATTTTGCAACGCATGCCAAAAATTTGTGCTGCAGTAATCAAGGATAAAGGAGGATATTTTGGGGAGAGCAAAATTTAATCATAAAATGCTTATTTTGCCATAATAAAATTTCTAAAAACATCGCTTTTTTTTAATCATGTATAGTAATTACAAAAAGTACAAAACAGCTAATGTTTGGAACAATTTAAAAATGACCAGGGGTGGTCTTAAACTTTTGAATTGTAGTATATATATATATATATATATGGTATAAAATGAAATTTGGAAAAAAATCTTGGATTCCGCCGACGCGTTTCATCTTCCGACTTTTTCAAGGCAAAAATGAAATCGAAATGTCTTTGTTGTTATAGTTACATTAAAAAATCCAAATTTCAAAAGATAGACGCTTCTGTCTAAGCCTTTTCTGGTTAATGTAAATTTCCTTTATACTAAGAGAACTTTTTCTATGTCGACAATACAGTTAATTTCTCAGATCAATTCTGTGGACAAGACAAATTAGTATACAATGACAATTGTAAAAAAAAAACATCTCTCAAAGTAAAATTTCTCAAAGTATAAGGTTTACTTATTGATGATTCATGGTAGAAGCAAGAAATGCAGATTTTAAGGATAAGTAGGACAGATACGGGTTTTCACTCGATTTGAATATTATCGCGATCGTGTATGCAAGCACGTGGGAGTCAGTTCCTCAAAAAGCGGTTCTTGTGAAGAATCTTTCTTGAATAGAATTTCGTTCTTGACAATGGAATACAAAGGAAATGAAGATGATTTGACCATGTGGACATGGTATGGCGGGCTTTAAAATTTAAAGGTACGATCTATTGGTAGTAAAGAACATTTTACATCTAAATAGCGACGTTTCGTCTGAGGGAAAGGCGGGGCAGATTGGAAAATGAATAAACCAGAAGACGTTTTTAAACCCTGAAAATTTGGAATTAGGTAGGTTCAGACCAGATATGGCAGCACCATTCTTCACATTGGTTCTAACCTGATTCTTGTAAAAGATAAACAATAGCCGGTGGAGTCATTTGTTTTCAGCATCTTTTACGATGAGTCGTATATATATATATATGAGTTCTACTAGAGGTCTGAGGTGAACTTGACTTCCAGTAGATGTTCGAAGAAATAAACCTTTTTGAAACTGCAAACATTCATCGTGACTGGTGAGAAACTGGGGTCTGCTCAGTGTTGTTACGCAACTTAATAGCTTGTTTTCTTTTTTTTTAAGTAGTGAAAATTACAAGTCTTTTTACCTTCATCATCATTAGCCCTCGAACTCCCTAGGGTTGGTCGGGACTCATTGGCAATGCCTTTCCACACTGTTCTGCCCTGTAATGATGTCACCCGATCATCAATGTTTAACCCTGGATCCCGAGCTATGGTGCCTGGGATAGTCAATTGTTACCTTTAGAAAGAAAGATATGATGCCAGGTTCTGGACATCTACATTCTTGGAGGTGTACCCCAAAGTGGTACCATCTTCACAGATATTTACCAACAATCTAAAAATGTTCTTCAGCAGTTAATATAACGCGGAAAGAGGGTTGATTTCGAGCAAATACCCTGCATGCGAAACATTGACAAAAACCATTAGAGACATCGAAGGTGATCCCAGACAAAGAAAGGAAATTAAAATTTCTAAAGAATATAACGAAGGAAAAAGAGAAGAAGAGATTAAACATTAATTGCATGAGATCTGAATGAATGATTGTTAGCAAAAGGGACAGACCAACATACAAATTACAAACTAGGGATATCGAAATCAAAATGGTGAAACAATTAAAACTTATAGGAAATGTAAGAATATGGAACAGAAAATTAGACACGGACCTACAAAGGCGCATGGGGATAAAGAAAAATGCCTTTCAAAAACTAAGCAACGTATAAAGAAACAGAAAAATATCGTGAGAAACAAAGAAAAGAATACAGAACTGTATGTAAGATCCGTCCTCGTATATGGCACTGAATGTTGAACAAACTTTTCACAGATGAAGAATGGACTTGAAGCAATAGAATGCCGGTTCTACAGAAGGATGCTGAGAAAACTACGGGTCAAACAAGTGAGCAACGACGAAGCTTTAGAGAAAATGGGAAGAAAGGACAATTATATTTAACATCAGAAAGAAAGAGTTGAAATTTTGGGGGCACATAATGAGGAAAGGCGACTTGGAAAATTTGATACACTACAAAATCTTTCGTGGGAGCTTTTGTAGATTTATTTCCGTGCCTGCTATCAACACTATGTCATCTGAATATCTTGTGCTGTTAATATTGTTGCCACCTGTAATGAATCCTGGTAGGACATCTAATTCCCTCACAATTGTCTCGCTGTTTAGATTAAATACAGAAGTTAAAATATCTACAAAAAAAAAAGTTATAACAGATGGCCAAAAAAGATGTCACCGAAATCAGAAGACGTTTTGGAATAGCAAAAGTGCCTTTCAGAAGCTAAGCAAAGTAATAAAAATGTAAGAAACATAAAAACAGAACAAAAAAAAAGAAAATTGTGCTGAACTGCTATGAAATATCCTTCCTCCTATTTGGAAGAGAATGCCGGACAATTTCGTCACGGTCGGGGAGCAGACGACTCAACATTTAGTTCTACATAAGATTACTGAGAATACCACGGAAGAAACATGTGAACAACGAGGAAGGTTTTAGGAAAATGGGAAAAATAGTAAATGGAGTGTTGAAATTTCTGCAACACATAATGAAAAACGATGGTTTGGAGAGTTTAATACTCACAGGGCATATTTAAAACAACTCTCTTCCGGCTTCTTGTTTTCCAGTCTACATTGATCTTTAACAATCTAAATGCAATGTCAATAGTTATATTTTCTTCGTAATTCCAGTTCTTTTATTGTGTTCTGTTCTTAATAGTGTTTTTATCACATTCTCTAACACTAATTAACCACCGCCTTGCATCTTAGTGGCTTTATTGCCTTATTTGGGATAAAATGATTTTTTTTTTAAAAATGTCTCGTAGGGGGAACATTTTGTCTAAAATGGATGGCAGAATAATGACTGAGCGGAATAATAAAGGGATAAATATTGCTTAGAGCTACACAGCTTAGGAAGTTGTAGAGAACCGCATCCTGAAGGGATATAAAAGAAGATAAAGATCCATGGCCACCAAACTGGCTCAGGACTTATAGTTATCGTGTCGCAAGCGAAATGTCTTTTTTCTAGCCTGAATCTTGACATTCGATACATCAGCTTAGCGTCAATTTGTAACGGTCAGATAACCAACTTGGCCAGCATAATTCTCAACTCATTGAAACTGAAGTTCACTTCGGGACACAGTTTTCCGGGTTATAATCCAACGCTTCACGCTGATAAGCTGATCAAAGCACTCTACTTTTCGTTCTTTGACAGTTGTACAAATGAACAAAACATGTGAGCAACAAGTTTTAAAGAAAATAGGAACGTCATAGAATCTTATACTTACAATCAGAACGAGGCAGTTGACATTTCTGTGATGATT